GAGCAGGGGGTTGGACTAGAAGACCCTCAAGGCCCCTTCCAGTTCCATTCTGTTGGATTGATGGATTGAAATGGTTTAGGGTCTCCTGCTTGAGCAGGGGGTTGGACTAGAAGACCCTCAAGGCCCCTTCCAGCTCCATTCTGTTGGATTGATGGATTGAAATGGTTTAGGGTCTCCTGCTTGAGCAGGGGGCTGGACTAGAAGACCTCCGAGGTCCCTTCCAGCCCCAATCCCCTCTGCACTGTTCCTGGCTCCTTCCAAAGCAGCTGGTCTCTGGAAATAGGAGCCATCCCCCTTTCTCCTTTGACCCTGGGGGTCATCCTCACGCTCCCCTCTTCCTCCTTTCCCAGGGCGCGCAGGTGGCTGCTGAAGACCATGGACTCCTTCTGAACGTCCAACGACGGGGCACAGCCTCGCCCGGCGCAGGCCATGTCCACTACAGGCATTGCGGCCCAAGAGGTCAACCTCTCCTTGAACCCTGGCTATCTCCGTAATGGAAGCCTGGAGGCCTGTTGCCGTCGCCACAACAGGCAGTTTGCAAAGTGAGTGCGGGAGTGGGGAACGACGCAGCGCGCGCGGGGGGGGGGGTCTTAGACACGCTGTCGTGCGAGGCCCTCCATGCTTCCCCGTTTCGTTTACGGATGTGTTTTCCCCGCCCTCCCTTTCTCCCCAGCCCTTTCTTCCACGTGGACTCGGTGGCGATGGCTTGCAACCTGAACCCAGGACCCAATCCTCTGACCTCCGTTGGTAGGTACCCCGAAAATTGGTCCCGTTTCTTATTTTATCCCACCGGAAGGATTTTGGGGGTCTCCACTGTGTTCTTCGCTTGCCCTCTAGCGCAGGGGGTCTCCAAGATTTCTGGCTGCGCGGACCCGTGGGGTGGAGAGGGGAGAAGGATGGTTTGACACAAGCCCACAATTTGTGGGGAACATCCCCCTCCCTAACTAGCTGGTCTGCAAAACCCCAAAATATTGGGGAACTCTACACAAAAGGTGCGGACACGGTGGCTAAGACGCTGAGCTTATCGAACCAAAAGGCCGGCAGTTTGGCGGTTCGAATCCCCAACGCCGCATAACGGAGTCAGCTCCCGTGACTTGGCCCAGCTTCTGCCAACCGAGTAGTTCGAAAGCACGTTAAAAAATGCAAGTAGAAAAATAGGGACCACCAATTTTGGTGGGAAGGGAACGACGTTCCGTGCGCCTTCGAGCGTTGAATCATGCCAGCCACATGACTATGGAGACGTCTTCGGACAGCGCTGGCTCTTCGGGTTTGAAACGGAGGTGAGCAACGCCCGCTAGAATCGGGAACGACTAGCACAGATGTGCGAGGGGAATTTNGTCCTCCCTCCCCTTGAGTTGTGAGCCGCCCTGAGTCCCCCCAGGGAAAAGGGCGGCATACAAATAAAGCATCTCAATCTCTCAATCTCAATCTCTCAATCTCAATCTCTCAATCTCTTATTTGGAACCCTGACAATTCTTATCAATCCGTGGGAAACTGCAACTTATTGCATGCTCTCTTTTCTCAACCGAGCTTTCAGACTGGTGGCTGAAAACAGCGTACCTCGAGTATCGGCTGCCTGTGGTCATCCATTCCAGCCCTGGCGTGGTGCTGCCCAAACAGGATTTCCTGGACCGCCAAGGTCAGCTCAGGTGAGCCTCCTTTAAAGCCTTGTGGTTGAGCCTCGTTGCTGTAAAAGGCCCATCGGAAGAAGGGAACATTTTAGCTTTCAAACAGGGCCAAGGTAAGGTTCCAGGGACAAGATAGATGAATAAGATTAGAGGAATAAAGAAGGTTTATTATGATCACCATTGACTAGTAAACTAGTCACTCAGACATAAGAAATTTACGTACTGTACCTAAACGTCCGCATTCCCAAATTATATTTGTTTTTATTCTATCTTTTTGGGGTTTCTTTTGAATAGTTTGTTGCTCTGTTGTGGTTTTTCTAGTTGTGATCTTCTTTTGATCCCCTGTGTGTTTTGTCAACCCTTCTGGAAGGAAAGCGACACCGTTGCAGGGTGCATTTTGGTGTTTTTTTTAAGAAATCAGGGTTATTTTTTTCCTTTCCTATACATTCACAAATATACAGTCTTGTAAATACTATTAACGTTTGACTTTTATCACCCTCTTCTTAACAAATATAGAAAACACACTTTCTTGCCACCCCGTAGCTCTTGTCTTTTTCCCGTAAACAACAATCCGTCTTCTCAATCTCCTTTCTCTGCCTTCTCCTTTCCACCTCTCCTTCCTCTTTCCTTCCCTTTTTCCCCCACTCCTCCTACTCCTTGGAGGGGGCATTTGGGACGCTGCTCCTTTTGCCAGTCCTCTAATCGCTGCTAATATTTTTAGCATTCCTCTCTCAGGGCTGCCCTGATTGAGTGGGGAGGGGGGGGATATTTGATCTTTGCAGTGTTGTGGGGAGGGGGGGTCACCTTTCCCTCACTATCCCACCGAGCCCCCTTTCACCTTTCCTCCACTTCTGGCCTGCATTTAAAAATACCAGCCAATGCAAGGGAAGAGCAAACGGTGAGTGCATCAAAAAGGAATTTTCCTTCCCCTGCAGTGCCCGTCCTTTCCCCGCCTGGCCTGGCTCCGATCTGCAGATGGACCCCCCACCCCCACGTCTACCTAGGGCCCCTCCCCCAGCAGAAGGTCACTCAGGCAGCAGGGGGCTGCTCGGAGTTGGAAGGGACCTGGGAGGTCTTCTAGTCCAGTGTTTCTCAACCTTGGCAACTTGAAGATGTCAGGACTTCAACTCCCAGAATTCCCCAGCCAGCGAAAGCTGGCTGGGGAATTCTGGGAGTTGAAGTCCT